AAATAATAATACAAGTTGTGGAAGGTGTTAGTATGACTGTCAGTCTGGTTTGGAGTGAACTACTATCGGCTCGATTCGATTCGATATCTATCCCCTCACGAGGGCTGCATATGGCACAAGGCCGAGTTTAACGTGGGTTTCCTGAGCCCGTAGAAACTGTAAAAACAGAATCGGGTTGGTCAACCTCCCCGAACGAGACTCTGCCCTTCGGCGGAGCCTCGTCCGAGTTCCTCTCTGCTCAGAGGCAGAGAGTTCGACCGTCAAACAGAAGCTCGGCTCGATTCGGTATCAAGCCCCCCCACGAGGGTTGCATGTGGCACAAGGCCGAGTTTAACGTGGGTTTCCCGAGCCCGTAGGCTCAGCCAAAAAAAATGCCCGTAGAACCCGTATAAACGGGATCGGGTTGGTCAACCTCACCGAACGAGACTCTGCCCTTCGGCGAAACCTAGTCCGGGTTCCTCTCTGCTCAGAGGCGGAGAGTTCGACCGTCAAGCCGAGAAGCTCGGCTCGATTCGTCCCTCTCTCTTGAGAGGCGTAGTATACATAGTGTTAGGAAGAGTTCATTCTGTAGTTATAGGTAAGGACCCATGACACTAACAACCAACCCGGTGCAAATTATTTTTTTCAACTATGTAAAAGTTGCACATCAAAGTAACTAACATAGTCACCCTGGTGCAAATAATTTTTTTCACCTATGATGAAGTTACACGTCAATGTAAGTAACATAATCAACCTGTTCCAAATGGTTTCCAATGCCTGATTTGGATATTTTCCGTATCTTGGATTTTTCTTGCATTGCAAAATATCCATTTATTGTCAAGTAATATCTTGATTTGATTCATATCCATCTCCACTGCTCTACCCAACTATGAAGCATTGTTCAGCGAGAAACTTCCTGTTGTCATATGTTTGATCATGTTTATATAAACTCTTCCTATTGTTTTATACATTTTAGATTGTGTGGCATGCACTTAACAACTTTCGGCTCAAACTGAAAAATTCCAAAAACCATACGATATTGGGTATCATCACGGACCACAAACTATTAGACAAAATAAAAGTAACGATTCTTAGAAATTTAACCAATTTACCATTATTTTTTTCATACTACGCATAAAAAATCCTTGGAACTATTTGAACACATTAGAAGATCTTGTAGTAGCGGACCGTGGTTTTTATACGTGTTGTAATATGAAGACGTATGGAATTCCTGATAGAAAGTCCACTACAGTAATATGGCGGACACAAGATGAGTCTGTAGCATCCCACTACCACTTTCTTACCAATGATGAATTTTGTAAAATCTTGCGCAAAAAGTGGATCAGAGAGCCTACTCAGCTTAGTAAATATTTTCAGGAAATATCAGCTTCTAATTGGTCAATAAACACACAAGTGGGCGTTGCAATCCCCCCCCACGTACAAATATTTTTCCAGCGCGTGACCAAGTCAGGTTTTCCCGCAACTTTCTGTGAGCCTGCCACGTGATTACGTTCATTATAAATAGCAGACACAAGCTTGCTGCTCTCTCTTCTCGCTACAAGATGTAGTTGTAAAAGGATTCTCGTCTCGACCATGGGTGGTCAGACGTTAAAAGCATACTCACGCATGCACGTACGCACGAACTTTTCTAAACTACATTACATACAGAACATTTCCAAATATGCAACAAAAACTTCTCTCTTTGGAACATTCTTCTAAAGCTACAGTTTATTCAGCATTTCTCAGTTTTATAATTAATTCAACTTTTGTGAGTTCAGATAGAAATATTTCCCAGTCTAAGGGACATAACTCCAACAGAACTTCAACTTCTACGCATGTACATCATGACACAAATAAATACAAATGTTAAGTTTTGAAACCATTTTGACCCTTCTTGTATTTCATGTTATGTGGTGTTTTACGTTTTTAATATAAACTCTGTGGTCCATTCATATTAACATACCACTACATATGGTAACCCCGACGTTTGACATGAAGCGAGAAGAACAAATAGACCACTACAAGTCCATGCAAAAGAAATATAATATATATATATATATATATCTATGTGTGTTTGTGTGTTTCTCGAAGGAAACGCATAGCCCCCACCTTCACAAAGGGGAAGATGCAAATCTTCACTAGAGATTTACATCATAGTATATCAGCTGAAAAGTGAGAAGAAAAGGTTATTTACCTCACCTCCCCGCGAGGCAGGATGTGGCACAAGGCCGTTTTTAATGCGGGGTTAAAACCGAGCCTATGGGCTCGGGCAAAAATTACCCATAGACCCCGTAAAAACGGGGTCGAGTAGCTGTCTACTACTCCAGACGGCATAGCCTCGTCTGGGTTCCTCTTCACCTGAAGGCAGATAGTTCGATCAGCTCAGCTGGAGACGAATCTCCAATTGCCGAAGTAAGCCCAAGCGGAAGAAGAAAAGCGATATTTATTTCTGTGCTACAACAGAAAATGTGGCACAAGGCCGAAATGGGGAAGGGGAAAGAGGTCGGTCTTCTGTCTTAACTTCTAAACTTAGCTAGCCACAAACGTTGACCCAATCATACTGACAATATTTCTTACACCAAAAAACACATTCTTATTAACCTTTCTCACCACAGAAGAAAAGAGAACAAGACGAGGTGTCGCGAATTATATATAGTTAGTTGAGAGCGCCTCCAAGTAGCTGTTTCAAAAATTAGGAAATTAAGGAGGAAGTAACTCTGACAATTGCACAATTTTTTTATATTTTCATATCAGTATTTTCTTCACATTTTTCTTACTAATGGCACAAAATGTCAGCAATGAAAAACTCAGATTTTTTTTTCTAGTATTATCTGGTTTCCTTCAAATTATTATTGTCCTCTTAAAACCAATCCTGCCATTCTAGGCATTACTATTTCCGCCTTCTTTCTTAGTTGATTCATTTTTTTCAATGCGTTTTTCTTTCTATGAATAAAAATATGCCACGTTCCTTTTTTTTTTTAAATATATATATTCATAAATCAGAAGCCAGATATACAATTTCTTGAATTTTGAAAGAAAGATAATCAAATGGAATTGGTGAATGAAAAATAAAAATACATTATTGTGAAATGATTTATCGAAAGTTTTCTTTTGATTGGTTCGTTCACTTTCTATGGCTTATCAACCCTTTGCAGGTTATAGAAATATTTTTAGATCGTGTGAAAAATATGGGTTATCTCCCCTTGGTAGATCTCTGGTATGCATTTTAGCCTACTCAAGTGACAGGCGATGCTGGCCATGAGTGAAACTGAATAGACGTGTTAATGCCTCGGCAAGCAGACATTGGAAGAAGAGATATGATTAACTTCAGATAAGTGTTTCTTATCCATTTTAAACAGATTATTGTATTGGACTTCATCCCCGACGAACTGACATTAATTGCTAAAGAAATATGTTTACCAATTCCATCTTCTCTTTTTCCTTGCGTAAATTCATTATTTATATAAAAGTATGTTTTTAAATTTTTCTTTGTCTTTTGTTCCTCTGTTTACGACTCATATGAGGAGTCACTAATTTTAAGTATCTTTAGATTGTAAGCCTTTAGATAATAATTGTATAGTGATACAAGTCTTACTAATTAACCCATAGCTGAGGAGGAGAAGAGGTGGTTTTGTGCTTAGTTGTGCCAGAGAGACTTGGTATCATTTTATCAGAACTTCAGACAAATAATATATATTTATTTATTTGATTAAGATTGGAGTGAGTCCTTTGATAATCCGTGTAGTAAATGTTCGTTTATAAGGCAGATCTTGGTAGCAGTTGTCCGCTTAGAGATCGGTTGGCAGCGGTTTCCTTGGCTCTAAGAAGGGCGGAGAAATATCTGAAGCAGATAACCACTTACTTTTTATATGACATGCATGGAAGGATTCATGGGTGATCCTTTCTCTTGTTCAACTTTCTCTGGCACGCCGCTTCTCCATTTCTGCCTCAGGGTTGTCAATTTATACCCTTTTGACAAGGTTCCCAATCTACTGCTGTGTTATAGACAAGCGTATGGTTGCAAGAAAGAAATACGACAACAGCATAAATAGATTTACGTTATTTATTTCAATAGGAACGTGTGGGTTTGGGACAGCTACCTTGTGGTATAGTTCATAAGCCGGCTCCCGATCTTGGTTGATCTCTCATAGTAGTTCTCACCGGTTGGCGTGGCGCTCCTCCTGTTGACTGCTGCTAACTGACCGTGACAGGTCTCTTCCCTGGCCCCCTGTTGATTGCTGTTGTACTTCCCCGTGAGACCCCTCTTATGGCGTTTTTTATGGCTTAAAACGACGCGAGTATAATTAGGAGGGAAGCATTTTTATTGGTCGAAAAATAGAAACACTTTAAAATATTATTTTATTTTTCGACGGGAACTCGTGCGTCGGGCCTATGCGTAAACGACGATAATGGTCATTTTGTGACGGGGCCTTGTCCCGTTCACATCCGGCTCTCGCTCTTGAGTATGTTAGTTTATTTGCCTGCAAATCAGTCGAGATATGTCTTATTTTATTCTATAACAGCTGCAAATTTTGATTTTGGCTAACATGAAAAAGCAATGTGTTAATTTTTTTTGATTGGCCAAAATTATTTAATTTTCTGGCGTTCCTTTCTTTTTTTTATATATATATATATATATATATATATATATATATATATATATAGCAGAAGTTATGTGTGGAGCCTCTCTGATTTTTAGTGGTTTTTAGTCACAAATGGCTAACATCTGTTGTTTTGGGGCTGGGTTCAGTCTTTTCTTCTTCTTCTTCTTTTTTATTTAAGGTTTGCTTTCTCGTTTGTTGGGAGAGAAATATATATAGAGAGAAAGAGAGATAAGGGTTTAAAAGCAAATAATTTATTTTAATTTGAATTCTTTTTATTTTTACTTATATATTTTATTTTCATATTTTATTTTGGGAATCAGTGCGAGTAAGTGAATATAACGAAACCAACTTGAAATTGAACAGCTCTCTGATTAACGATTCCAAGCCATTATCTATTACACCACCCACACATCCGAGCTTACGGCACCTGGTATTCCCATGTGGTCACTTATTTAGGTCCTGGTCAAACTTGATGTTGCTTAACCTCGGTGATTGAACGAGAACTGGTGTTTCAACGTGATATGGTCGTAAACCTTCTTTTTTTTATCACTGGTTAAAAAAACAAACCAAATTATTGTATAATACAGTGTAACCCGGATATAAGAGACCCGGATATAAGAGAAACCGGGATATAAGAGAGATTTTCTCTGGTCCCAAATTAGAGCCTGTGTTAATGTATATAAAATAGACCAAACCCGGATATAAGAGAAACCCGGATATAAGAGACTTCTTCTCCGGTCCCGACAACTCTCTTATATCCGTGTTACACTGAAAATAACATGTATTAGCAATTCAGTCAAAAATAGACTTTTATATTTGATTATTTTTTTAACTTATTCTTAGATATTTAAATAAATGAAAGCTAAAAAAAATCTATTAGAAATAGATAAAATTAAAAGAAAATTCTTCAGTGTAAAAATGGAAAAGTCCTTATTCTTTCATCATTTTTCTTTTCTTTCTTCGTAAAAAAAAAGAAAGCTTTTTGAAATTAGTTTTATAAATGCCACATTTACAGTGTAACCCGGATATAAGAGAAACCCGGATATAAGAGAGATTTTCTCTGGTCCCAAATTAGAGCCTGTGTTAATGTATATAAAATAGACCAAACCCGGATATAAGAGAAACCCGGATAAAAGAGACTTCTTCTCCGGTCCCGACAACGGGTACACTGTATATAAATTTTCTCCTTTTGACTTTTGACTGAACAAAAATTTACATATTTTAAGTTTAGTATACTTTATTATCTCCCTTGATCATCGCTCTTTAGTCATTTTTTTTTTCTTGTTATTTTAATTATCAGCCGAATTCTTAAAAGGATAAAGTAAAAGTTTAACTGAAATTCTTAATTTAATTTTTTTGTTGATATTTCTTTATGTTGATTAGCTTCGAGAAGGACAGATTTATTTAACGAAAGAGAGAAAGTAAGTCTAATTCTACTATTCACTTCATTTGTTTATTTACATTATTGTACAATGGTCTTGTATTGCCAGATAATTTGTTTAAAAAAAACGTAACTTTATGGAAATTATTTAACAATGTCTTGTTTTCGTTGAAAGAAACTGAAAATTATTCAGTTGTAGTTTAATGTTTTAAATAATAAAATATATGAAAAGATGACTGAGTGAAAAATGTTAGCACGTTTTTACTACAGCTTCTTACTTTTTAAATTTTTAATTGTTTTTATTATATACCACACTTTCGTCTTGTTACAGGTGTATATTCTAATTTAAATATTTGATTATTTACCTTTAAGCAGAAAATAATATAAATGCGAGTTTCTTTTTTTTTGTTTTGTTTTTTTCTGGCTTAAAAAAAAAAAAAACGAATCCTAACATATTATTTTAATTTTAAAAATGACCCCAATTTAGATTTTTAAATTAAAAAATGTCTTCTCTTCTTGTTTTAAGTAATTTAAAACAATTACGTCTTTTTATTAGTTTTAGATATTTATTTGGAATTTTGATTCTTTCTTTACTGACTAAAAAAAAATTGTCCTTTTACATCTTTGTCCGAAATTTTAATGGCCAGTCTTATATTTTTAGAGAGCTAGAAAAATTGGCTTACTTAAATAAGCTTCTTCTTGTCTAATGCACTACTAAATCTCTCCCCATAACTTTTTTTTCACTTATTCAAGTAACAAGTAGCTTTTTTTTCTTTTTTTTTTTTCCCTTTGTAATCAAAATTCACTCCCAAGTGAGGCGTTAATGCCACTAAGATTAAATGGGCTGCATACACTGAGAGTGAAAAAAAAATGTATAGACTTTAGTTAGAATATTTTAGAACCCGGAAACCCGAAACAGTAAGCAAGGGAAACCTGTCAACTCCTGTTCAAAAGACCGGAAAGGTGTGTAAACAACGTACTTGCACTGATTCGCTAAAAAATTAGCATATCGTTTGAAAAATTGCCCCCAAAAACTTAAAAAGGAAGTTTTATCGTCAAAATCTTTGTTCAAAGGATTTTTTGATTATTTTAAAAAATTATATTTTACAACGTCCGAAATTTTGGAGTGGGGAGGAGAAGGCAAAGATTAGTACAGGAAATTTTAGCGTCTTTTTTTCTTTTTTTGCAGTGAAAAAACATTGATTGTAATTTCTTGCAAAAATCTAACAATTGTCAGAGTTTAATTAAACTTTCTGGACTTACTCATTAAATGAAATTATTCTAGAAATTTTTCTTTTTTAGAAAATCTTGGTAATTTTTATTTTTTATTTTTTATTTTTTTTTACATTCATTTGTTACCCCACCTCCCACTTATTTAATTTTGAGAAATTTCAAGAAATTAAATTTTGTAGCACATAATGTAAAAAGCAGAACTCTTTGGAAAATTTAAATCCTCAATTTTTATTTTTATTTTTTTTATTTATTTATTTTTTTTTTTGTTTGTTTGTAAAACAGGACAACCATTTTTTTAAAAATATTCTCTGAATAGTAAAATAAAAAAAAAATTGTTTTTGTTTGATTATTAGATTTGTGAACAATGCCATATTGTTTGAAAGTTATTATGGCCATAGCAAATTTTCTGAATATCTAAAACATTGAAACAATTTAACCCCAAGCAATGACCACACAAGGTTTTATCAATGAAATTCCCTTATTAAGAACAATCAAACATTTGCAAAGTACATGCCGTAAAAAAAAAAAAATGAGTGGGGAGTAGGTTAGTATACCACTGGAAGATGCATGCAAGTGGGGACGCAGGTAGACATTTCTAGACGGGGATGCGGTTATACAATTGCAGCCATGTACACCCAGGCAATACTGGCTGCCTCGGCTAGTAAGTAATATATTTCAAATCAGATTAAATTTTAAATCCGCTAATATTCCTCAAATAAAGATTCAGAAAAATATATTTTATTTTTGAAAGATTTTTTTAATAAAGAGAATGACATTGTGATGATAGATGACTAAAAATGATGCTAAAATCAGCGATTTTTTTTTTTTTTTTTTTTTTTTTTTGCCAATTTCAAAGTGAAAATTCCTTCCAGTCAATTTAAATTAGCTGTGAAATACAACAATGTATTTTGCTTATTGGAAATATTAAGTTTGAAATTAAAACTAAAACAAAAGATTTTTCACTTTTAAAATTCATTTTAAACCATAGGTATCCCATTTCTGTGAAAGTGCCTACGGTTATGGATAGATGTTAGGCAACCTGTTAAAAATGTTATCTGAAGAAAATCCAATTTATACAAAATTATGCTGTTGATATTATTGACCTAATTCAAGTATATTCCAGTTTAGTGTTCAAAACAATTTTTACATACCAAATACTGAATTAACTGTTTTATTCTGCATTTTGTTTTTTTTTGTTTTTTTTGTTTTTTTTAATCATTTCACTCCAAGCAAGGTGATAAAGTCACTAAGACACAACAGGTTACTTAGTATTAGAGAATATGAGGGAAAAACTATTAAGGCAAGAGCACAATAAAAGAACAAGCATTAAGAAGACAGATGATAACAGTTGACATTGCATTTCATTTTTTGAATATCAAAGTTCAACAACCGAGAAATGTGATAGAAGAAACTGTTAGCATTATGGTTACCTCTTGCCATTTCAACTTTAAAATCATGAAACCTTGTCACCAATCTAATACTACACTTAAATTCATAAATTTTCTATCACAAAAAAAAAAATTAAAAAGGTCAGGCCTACCTTTGGATCTTGTATCAGAAATAAAAATAAAAACAGTGTTCAAAAAGCAGTATAATTTATTTCATCTGTTATATCATTTTGAGTCCTATGAATAGTTTTCTATATTATTTTTCAAAAATTTTGCCATATCTAGTTTGTTGGGAGAAAAAAAATTACCATAATGGCTCAGGGCTGGAAGATGTGCAAACAAATACAGAAACAAATCAAGATTAATATTAATTTGCTCTAACTAATAGTGATCTATAGGTTCATCTGACCATCTTGTTGGGACATAAAAACCCGTTCTTATTCCAACTTTAATCATTTTGTTGATATTTTGACGAAAGAGCCCATATTTGAGCAGATGGGTCAGTGATTGTGTCTCGCTAAATTAATGATAGGACAAGTAATGACCAGCACTGTCTCCTTTCTTCATTTTTGTCCCTGTTGCATATTTGTACTTTTATGTACAACAAATATACATTTTGATTTTCTTTCTAACTTCGTCATATTGTTTCTGTCTTTACTAGGGCCAGACTTTCACCTACTGAGGCCCTAAGCTATATGAAATTTGAGGCCCTTCTCTATAAAAAAAATTTGGGGTAAAAAAAATATAAAATAATTATACATGATTATTACTTATTGATAATTATACATAATTTTTGATGGTTTAGTGTGAAAGAATAAAAACTAATGATAAAATAAAAATATATTTAAAAAAAATCTAAAACCCTCAAAGGTGTATGTCTCCCTGCTATAGCTTATAGGTAAGACCAACACTGTTCTTTATTCACTGACCTTTCACTTCATAATTTTTTTTCATTTGTTAACCAGAATACATTTTACTGAGAAATTCTCTTTAATTCATAAAACTTATTTATTAAGTTTGGACATGGGTTCCCAAAACCACTAAGAAGGTTCCAGCAAGGGAATTTGTTACAATTAACCACATATGGCAAATGTGTCATCATATTACAAGGTAGGAATATTACTTTGTGTCCTTCTTTATCAGATTTTGTAAAGTTTTGAGAGCTCGCATTTGAATATTTATTGGGGGTGAACTCAAATCCCCACTAGTGGTGTAGGCTTTTATTAAAAAAAAAAATTACCTCAGTAAATTGTTAATTTTGGATACTAATTTTATTTCACTTAATTACGATGCATTGAATTATGATTTCAAATTCAAAAGAGGAAAATGTAACATTTTTTATTTTTATTATTTTTGTGTTAGAAAATACATACTCATGATATGAAACTAAGTAAGTTCATAAATTACTTATTGGTTACAAAATTTGAGTTAGTTTTTTTTTTTTTTTTTTTTTTTTTTTTTTTAAATTTTAAGAGGAAAGGTAATGTTCTCAGAATATGAGGCTACATAAAGCCATCTTAGGTAGTTAA